TACCTTTGGTCGTATGTATTATGAGAGGCTTACAATTGAAACTATGACCACTATTCGTGCGCACCGAAAAGCGCAGTGTACACGGAACGGCGTCGACTTTTCAAGGCATTGCCATGCTATCGTCTGTTGCCCAGACAATGTTGGTTAAACTCTCAATACGAATCTATTTTGTCGTCGCTTTTAATCAAAGTGATGCACTGTATACCATGGATGTGCTGGAAGAAGGGGAAGAATTGTTCGAGCTTTGGTAATTCATCAAGTTTGATTGACACCACACAATCTGAAAAGCAAACTCTCCAGTGAACAAATTTACAATCTCCACAAACAGGCAAACGGTCCAGGAGGGATCTGCAGTATATACCAACAACCGCCCGTGATAGATGCCTAATTTTAAGCCTGGTCAAACAATAATTCATTGTGTTTTTGCGTTATAACAATGGGTAGTAGGCAGCACGCAATTCGTAAGCGTTATGCATGCATAGATGTTAATGCAGATCGATCTTTTATAAGTCCAAGGCTACATTAAGCATTTGCCAGTGTCAGAAGAATACACTGCTGGAATCATAGAAGACGAAATAAGTGTGACCACCTTATGCCGGCTTAGAAAGCCTTAAAAGATATTTCCTGAAATGTCGGACCTCTTTCTTTTCCGCCCTCCTTCTCCTGCACGTCCTCTTCTACCTCATCCTCTTCTCTTCACATTCTCGTTCATTTTGGCCTCCAACGTTCTTCTTCGCCGGTTGTATTCACAACGCTCACGGCTAGCGACACCTGTCGCCGTCGCGACGTCTCACGCGACATCACGGCAAAGGCAAGCATGACTTAAGGTTGACTCCTCGAGGACAGGTCGAAGCGTAGGCTCATCTCAGAGGAAATCGCCCGCATCCACTGAAATCTAGCTAATGCCAACACAGGCGTATGAAACGGCTGCTATGATTCGCACGGTAGCCCTCCCTTGCCTTCCTCCTGCGACCGCCCCCGTCCCAACGCACAGTAAGTCAGTGAACCCCTAATCCTTACCCATCGCGCGTTGCTAACCCGTTTCGTAGCAATGCTGATCGAACGCTGCAGCATCACTCTGATGAGTGATTGGTACCGCGAGCCTGACGATGAAGAACTCGATAAGGAAGAGATCGAAAGGCCCTTCGGCCGGTAGCACTGGGGTCCATAGGATCGGACGGCTAGAAGGAAGAACAAGGCCTCTGACTATGATGAGAAACTTTCACCCCACCCTTCACGACCTCAAAGACAAGCGAGAATCCCTGAAGTCGAAAGAGAACCGTGACCTCTCAAGAAGGTCTTTGATCGCTATGATGAAGTCATCGCGCCCCCCAACATGAAGCGAAAGGGCGCAGAGCAGTTGAAGCGCTACATGGCTGACGAGGATTGGCTCCCGTATCTCAATCGGACCCAGAGTCAGACACGCCTTTACAAGCACCTTAGCTGCAACGGTCGTACTCAACCCATCCTTCACTTTTCTGGATGGCTGATTGCCATCACCATCTTCACCAACATTCCTAACAAGATTACGGCTCGTATGTCCTTCTGGTGGAGGGAAGAGTTCCCCTTAGGAAGCCCTTGAATACGACTACTTTCCTTCTCGCGAACTGAGCGAGAAGAAACAAGCCAAGAAGATACAAGGGCTAGTCGGCGCCGATTTCGAAGACAAATTCGCAAAGGCGCAAAGTGAGAAGAAAGCTGCCGCAGCGCAAGAATGGCTTGCCCTTGATGCCCAGCGCCAAACATCTCACGGCCAGGCTACGTCTCCCAAAGCGTCCATTACCATGTCTTCCCGCGCGCCTGATTCATCCTCTTGTGCCCCTCTGGCGTCCTCCTCTCGTGCACGTGCGGTTCGTTTTCTCGTGCCCCCGATACCACGTCCTCCCGTGCGCGAATTACCGCATCTTCCCGACTGAAAAACGGTCATCTTTCTCGTAAGAGAAACAAGAGAGGTTTGAAAAAGCACAACGCCTTAACGACTCCATTCGCAAATCCCAGAAGACGCGGGCCCGACTTCTTGCGAATATCGAAGACACCTCATCCGTCTATGAAAACGTCACCTTCGAGCCCACCACGGAGGAGCTCGACCAGCTGACTGGTCCAAGTCATCGCACCGGTGGACATAGCGGTCTCTCGGATTCAGACATTGAGACAGGTGATCTGTCCATCATCGAAGTAAGCAGCGATGATACTAGCATCTCGGACGCAGACACAGATGGCGAAGGCTCTGTTACCCACGACATTGCCGACCCTGATACCAAAGCTTGATGCCGACCTTGATGCCGATACTGATGTCCACTCCGATGCCAGTGGCATCCAAGAACAAGATGGTGTCTTCAATTGGCAGCAAGCCTTTCAGACAATGGCCCGCGATTGCCAACCGGCGAACAAGATGATGTCCGAAGCAATGGCTAATTGACGCAAGGATGAAAGATTCCAAGCTGATATGACTACTTTTTCGACTAATACCCAGGCTCAGATCAACGACCTAAAGAAGGATGGCAAGGCTAAGGATAGCCGCATGGACAAGTTCCAAGCGCAACTTACCAAGATCGACGTTCGCAGTCTGAGAAGTGAAAAGCGAACTCAGGAAATTCTGAAGCTACCTGGGCCAAAGCCCAGCCAAACTCGTCGCAAGCCTACCAAATGAACGGCAAATGCCAGAAAAAACAGGCCAAGAAGATTCAGTTTCTGGTTGGAGACCGGACTGAATCAAGCATAAAATCCATGCTTGGAGGGATAGCGCGAATGACTTCAATAGACAAACGACTATGCATATTAGAAGCCCGAGAGATGTTCCGACAAACAACAATTTATACATGACTTCAATTTTAATCAATAGCATGTCATAGTGATGTTGATAAATAGCCTTGCTATGCTCGCCGTGTAAGAAGTCTAGGTTGTCAGGTGTGTCCAAGAAAAGCTAAGACTTAGTTAAGATGTCATGAAGATTAGTATAGTCTACTCTAAGCTTTAGTGCCTAAGCAGATGATATTTTATCAATAGGTTCCTTTATCCTGGTTACTCTTCGGACCGACTGGTTGTCAATCTGTCGTTGGAATCTTCCTCACAAACCAATCCACAAAGCCATCAAACCACCCACTATCCCACCTGCCAAACCTGGCGGGATGACATTGGAGCCGCTATCTGATGCCGTGGATTCAGCCGCCGTTCTGGCCGCTGAAACTGCAGCAGCCTGACTTCCACCCGAAGTTGCCGAAGAGACAGAGTCACTCGTAACCGTAGGCTCATCATCCTGGAGGTACTTGGATCTTGCGCTCTTGATCTGTGCACCGTAATCTGTAGCCGTGACAGGGACTGTTGCGGCACAGCTCACAGGTTTAGCGCTCCAGGAGCTGCCTGTGCAGATTGGCCAGCCTTCGCAGGTACTGAGATCGAGTTTGCCGCCGACGCAACAATACGCTTTGCCGTCATTGCCGTTGTTATTACGGAGGACTCCAGGACAGTTGAAACTGCCCCCATCGTCCTTGATGAACACAGTAGTCTGGGCCAGGGTTCCCCGTAGCAGACATATACCCATGCTGAGAATAAGCAATAAGTGCGCAGCCGTTGAATGCATGGTGGATGATCTGCGGATCGACTTGAGCAGGGTTCGGAAATTTGGTCGTGATTGTGGAGATTCGGCCGAATACTTGATGAAGTATAGGTAATTTATGTGTCGATGCTTTTGCTCCGAAACTTGACGGGGAATCGCCCTCTAAATATAAATCAAAAATACCAGGTTCAGCTGAATAGCCAATGCAGGTGCAGGTCTAGAATGCGCCAACCGTATTGATGGCTTGAAAGCCTGACGCCTGTCAGATTTCACCACCATCCATGACCCCGCGCCGTTAGCTGTAAGAAGGCCTGAATACACAAAATCTGATGGTTTTAAGCCTTTCTACCCTTGCAAAGGATGTCACTGTCAATCTGTCAAGTTGTCAACGTCTGAAGTGTCCTTCTACAGCAGCCCAGCGACGCGTTAGTTAAGGGAACTCCCGCGGACAGCCGCCAGGTAAGCTTTGGAATAGTTCGACGACACTAAGCTGGCAGTGGCAATTCACAATGCAAACCTGGCCTGATTTTAAGTTTCAAGCCAGACACCGTCTCGGTAGTGTAGGGCCGAACAAGTAAGAACTCGACGATTGGGTCTCGGGATGTGGGAGGATACCGGGGCAGGGTAACGGTTTCTGCCATTCTTTGGTCACAAAGGTTCTGGAAAGAAACTAAGATTCAGATAAAACGGTATCAGCTCTCAAATTCTGGATCTATCATTTATGATCGACACTGCATCTCCGATCCCATTCGGTCGGCTGAGGCCCTGTCTGTAGGGCTTTACGAGTACTGTAACTTCTGAAGGTGGCGACTCTTAGGTACTCCATTGGCTGTTGAAGTTGCTGACTCAGATATCAAGAGGTTCTGATTGGACTGGAGCAGCTCCGATAAAGAAGAGTCGAAACAGAACATTCAGATGAAGACCAGACGTCAATTCTCTTCTAGATAGCCATTCATTCCGGCTTCTTTCCTGCTTTAAATTTTGACACAATATCGCACCGACATGAAGGAATAAAGATGCACGCTGTTCTAGAACCCCCCTCTTCAACTCGTGTCTGAGGCAAAAGCCAAGCCCTGACCACAACCCAAAAATCACTCTAACTAGATCCGTACTGATCGTGTGTCAGCTTGGTCCTTGGATTCCAATCCTTTTCCCGCTTACGGGCTATTTCACCAATCTGTCCCCGTGCAACTAACTGGAACGCTTCTTTGCAGCCTAGACCCTTTGCCTTTCTATCAGTATCTGATCCAACAAGTTCCTCTTTTTTTTTCTTTCTTCCTTACATATGCTTTGCGATATCTCGTATCCACATGGCTCGGCACGGTAGACGGATCAAACGGTGCGGGACCTGCGTAGAACGCAAGGTCAAGTGCGGTACGTCCGGATTCATTGACAACCGAGGAGACATTTGACAGCTGATGCTGACTCTTGGCAACAGATGAACAACAACCTCATTGTCAACGCTGCACAAATGCCGGGCTTACCTGTTCGGGATATCATAGTCAACTCAAGTTTGTTGACGAAGGGACGCGCTTTGCCTCAGAGGTTGTCGTCTCACGACCTAAACCAGCACAATGCTCCCGTATAGTATCCACAAACTGCACGAAAATGGTTAAACAGGAAACGGTTAAACCACAAATTCGCACTCTAATGCCGCCAAAGGAAACCCTGTTCCTTCCATACACCTTATCAAAGCTATCGCCAACATCATTTCGATATGATCCAGCACTCGCAAGCAGTGTCCTTCCGGCGCTGCTAACGGAATTCAAATCGCCACTGCATCAGTCATGCATACAAGCTTTATCGGCCACGTATTTTGGAAGGATACATCAGGATAAACAAGCTTGCAATCTGGGCTTGCGGCTGTATTCTTACGCGCTGACGCAGCTCCGGTCCGAAATCAACAGCGCAAGTACGAATATCGGTACGATAATGGGCGTCATGTGTCTCTGTGTATATGAGAATGTGGTGTTTTCACAACCCAATGCCTGGCTTCTTCACTACGATGGCTTAGGGAGAATAGTAAGTATCAGAACCTGTACGGTAGACTCTACTGACCAGTATTCCAGTTACAATCTCGGGGCCCAAAGCCTTTGAAAAGCCAGGAAGAGAAGCAGATATGGCGTGTCGCAAGATACTACATTGTAAGTATTCCGGCTATCAGCTCTTTAGGCCTAGGCTAAACTGTGCAGCTTCTTTCGGCCGGACATCAACGGAAACGCTGCTTCCTCGAACAACCACAATGGGCTAGTACCCACCTTATACCAACGAGCGATACACCTGATAGATTCGATCTTCTTCTGGACCTATTCTCTCAATTTCCTGGCATCATCGACGAGTATGATCAACTACGACAGTCCTCATGTATAGATGTTGAAAGGTCGGGCGCATTCCGACTAAGAGTGCAATCACTCGTGGACGGTTTACACGCCTGGTGCAAAGACGGATCATGGTTAGTCACCGTTGATCCAATTCTCATAGAGAGCAGTCAAAAGCGTCTTCCGGATGATCCGATGGACTGTGTCTCCCTGGCAGTGTGTTACGCCATACTTCTCTGCCTCATCCAACCATGCGATTGTTTGAATATCAACATCATCACTGGACAGCAAAATAATGAATCAGATAGCGCGGATGCGGCATCTCGAGTAACAGGTCTAGCAGCAGAGATCTGTCGCTTTGCGAACCAGGCACTTCGGGCAGGAGATGCTGCGAGTCTTGCACTGCTGCTTATATATCCCTTACAAATAGCTTGGTATTGCTTGCAAGTTACGGCAGGAGACCTGGCCCCTGTCAAACAGGTTCTGGACTCTGGCATCGCTGACTCGCATGGTTTTGAGCTGGGAAGAATGCGCCAGTGGAATGAAGAGGTTACCAATTATGGAAGATATGGGTTCTTGTATAGTTAGATAGCGATCCATCTTATGAAAGAGATCAACACGTATATATCAGAGGATTCATTCAGAAGCCATGTGTCTTAATCGCGAGGCCTTATCTGTTGAGGTGGTCAATGAATAGAACTTGGTTGATGTTGGTACTCCACGTTGTACAACCCGTAAAGGCAGCGTTGCGACTTCGTATCTAACAGCCAGGCCATGATATTTGATGAAGTTAATATCATTGTCCGATGGTAATGGAGGATCAAAACCTCTCGCTTTCGGTTTCGGAATTTTGTGAATCAGATTGGCTAACGCTAACCCCGCGTTGGTATCACCACCAGAGGTTGCACTTGCACTTTGCGTACAGTCAGCAATTGCCTCCTCAAAAACATGCCATTTCTAATCAAGAGGCATCATTTCTCTGCTGGACGCAAATAACAAACGTATGTGGCGCCCCCAATGTGCGAAGCGCGAACCAGAAATGATCCTTGTCGCAACACCAACCGAAAAAATGCTCACTGCAAAATGTCATCATCGAGAAAGCGCAGCATTTGCTCAGCCCTGCTCCGCGGAAGTGATCGACCACCGGACACACCAGTAGAGGCTTAGACCGCTAAACCCGTCGGACTCCCAGCTCTCTGACCCAATTACCTCGCTTTTTGGCGAATCCTACAAGGCTGATATGGAGCCTTGCTTACGCCCTAGACGATAATCTTGTGTCTTTTGGGTGCTTCGCGCTTACGCTGAAACAGTCCGTTGGAGCGCCATTATCATGTCAGCTCTCTGCCCCGCCCAGCCCAATTTCTGAGTGCTGACGCTTCACGCTTCTTAAGAACTTGATCTCCCCAGCTTTGAGATTAAGCTTTTTGGCTTTTTGATCCTGTATACGCGTCTGTCGATTGTTGTTCATCATGTCGGAGAAAAGACCCATTAAGCGACTTGTTGTTTTGGTGGATGGTTGTGAGGCGCGCGAGACGAAAAGTAAGTGCTCGATAGAGGAACAGCGACTGACGGCTAACCTGCTGTAGAGGAGACGAATCCTTCGACTATCTCCAGGATCAAGCAACTAACCCGTGATGGCCTGATTGAGTCAAACGGATACACTATCGCTCAGATTCCCAAGTACTATGTCGCTACGAGCAGCGTCACAAAGTTGAGCGATCGACTGAGGTCAAAATCCACAAACGATGAGTCGGCTACCTTGATCAAAAGTATTGTTGAAGATATCTGTCTCGTGCTGGAACGACCCGAAGACGAACTCTGGCTCTACGGTTCAGGCCACGGAGCCTTTATTGCTCGCGCCGTCGCCGGTATCGTGCACCGACTAGGATTGCCCAACTCCGACAACTTCGATGAGCTTTATGATGCGTCTGTCGGGCTTATCAAGGCACAAATCGATGACGATTTCAAACGAGGACCCCAACTACTCCAGAAGATCAAGAGCGGAGCCGGCGACCCTCCAAGGATACCATTTGTCGGTCTTTTCGATACCACGATACACAGCTCGAAAACAAGCTATGACATCTCATTCAACACATCCATCGAGACTCTTCGTCATGCTCTAGGTATGAACGAAAATCATTCTAACAGGGTGCCCGAGCTCTTCAGTATCCCGGAAGATGCAGACATGACCCATCGGTCGCTAGTCCAGGCCTGGTTCATGGGCACACACCAGGATATGATCGGTGGCACAGCTCACGATGGGCTCTCTCTGTATCCGCTGCAGTGGATGATCTTGGAGAGTCTCTACTCTGGTCTTGGCCTCAATAACATGGGCGATTCAAAGGCCAATGACAATCCCATGACTTTGGTCTTTCCTCAATATGCTGGCAACTTGCCGGCTTTGGACGGATCGGAAGAGATTGAGTGGCGTCTTCAGTACACGAACGGGCTTCGCACCAGCATGTTTGACCTCCAGAGTGCCCATGGCAAGAAGTCGACGACAGGGGTAGAGACACACTCTATCAAGCCGGACACAGATTGCTTTAAGCGACCCGCAAATCGAAAGATATTTGAAGGGCTTGACAAGACACTGAAAGGGTGGTGCGACGCAGGACCCTACGGAAACATGATACACCCTTCGGTATTTTGCATTCTTGACAGGTATCCCCGACACGGCGACCTCAACAGCTTTAAACTCCTCAAGAAGCCGATTTCCAATTTCCAAGATGCGCACCTCATCGCCGAAGAGGACCAAATGGCACCTTGGCTCAGAGATATGCAGCTTGAAGCAAGCGGAGTCAAAGCCTTTCGAATTCTGGTCTGTGGCAAAACAGGTGTCGGAAAGTCAACTCTGATCAACAAGGTATTTGGTGTTGAGATGACTGATGAGTCGCTTTCTTATGATCAGGGTGTTCACGACATCAACGTGGCTTTTGAATCGCCAAAACATCCAGGGCTTTTGATTCATGATTCAAGAGGTTGGCAGGCTGGTAGCGATACAGAATTGGACTTGATCGCCAAATTCCTTAGACATAGAGCGTTCCAGGAAGATCCCGCCGAGGCTCTACACGTAATCTGGTTGGTCAACCTTGTCGGCTTGTTCTGATGGCGTTTTAGCTGACGGGATCTAGGTTTTGCGTCGATTCCGACGTCGCCCGCATTGAAGAAGCAGAAAAGCGGACGTTCGCCACAATCGCTCAATATTCACACCAAGTCCCTGTTTTTGTTGTCGGCACAAAGAAAGATAAACTCACAGCTCAACACAAAGAACTCTATTTAGATACGCTGATGGAGAAAATGGACGACTACAAGGAAGCCAAGAAACTCGCCGAAGCGAGTGCTAATGCTAAAGCGGAGGAGCAATTCGCCGAGCTGAGAAGTCAGCTCTCGCAGATCGAGCATTACAAAGCTGACGGTTTCTGTTGCCTGTCAAAGAGTGAGCGCACTTTCTTTGTTAATTGTACTTGGCTGACAATAACTAGATGACGATGCCGGAATCAAAGAGCTACTCACCCAAACCCTCGACCTCATTGTCGACGAACGCGTACGTCTCTTCTGTGTTGCAGCTCAAGTCGTTGATGTTGAACAGAAGATCAACTCAGCGATAACAGAGTGTATGAGACTAGGAACACACGCGATCCGCACCGCCGCCGTCCCTCTTCCGTGCTCGGGCATGATTGGAACACCAACTGTATCACGTCTCATTTGCGAACACGTCCTCCAGTGTTTCGGTTTTCCCAAAGCCGCACCGACTGAGATCGAGGCAATCATGACGGATATCGTCTTGAGTAATTTCAAAGAATACATCAAGGTCTCAATGTCGCAATTCGCTGCTGTAAGCGCTGTTGCAGTGGGTGTTGCAGTGCCGACAATGGGTATTGGTGTCATTCTTGGCGCGGCTGGTTGTTTGTTTGCTCTCCCACCGACGGCGAGAATGCTTCTCAAGTGTTCTTGCGATATGATTCTTATTCTAGAACGATCATTCCGATACGATGGAAAGTACGTCTCAATCAAGCAAATCGAAGACGCCGCCAAATACTACGCAAAGGAGACGATCACAACATTTAACGGCAAAGAGAAGCGGCTGCAACAACAAGTCCATGACGAAATCGACCAGCTCATTCCTCTCAAGAAACTCAACGTGGGATTCAAGTTCAATAAGCTACGATCGTCTATTGATGATATCGTATACCGGAACAGATTCGGCAATCCTCCCGACTACGCGTCCTTGAAGAGTCCGTCCAGTGTAGGGTTTGCGGAGTCTAGTGGACCTGTTGAATTGGACGCAGGACCTGTCATTTCTGAATTACCTGGCGATCAAGTCGACCTGTCAACGGTATCGAAATCAGACGAGAAGGCTGCGCCGGTCACGGAACTTGACTCGACAGAGATCCAGTCACTAGAGAATCCTCGACCGGTTGCCTCGAACTCAGTTGTACCCGTGGTGACTGGTCCCTCGTTAGCCAACAAGCTTGTCGAACTGAACGTACAACCGCCTGAGCTGCCAGGAAATGTGCCCGGTGAAACCGGTAAGGGCCAACTGGAGGTTCCCCAGATGACAGCGAGAAGTAAATCTGACTCATCTGGTTCCCGCTGGAAATTGTCTTCGTGGAAGTTGAGTCGCAAGTCGAAGACGACGAAGCAATAGAGATGATCGAGATGTAAGAGTAGTTTGTTTTGGGTTTAAGTAACAGATACCAAGTTCTTTATACAATTCATCACGAGAGATGGGATTATTTAGCAAGTCTAGTAGATTCAGAATAACATTCAAGTTCATTGACTCGTACATGCTGAGTTCGGATGGTCAGAATAATATGGAACCAAAGTTTATTGGGATGATTCATAGGAAGCGAAAGATTCTAAAGTTGCAAAAGACAATAATAGCTCAGTCGGTCTCGGAAATACAAAGACAAAGAACGCAGGCAAACTAAACACTATAAGACCCGTTGGACACGAGGTCCAGATAAATGGAATAAGTGGAAGTGAATGATGTGAGGTCGAAATAATGGGTTGAGGTTGCAATCATTGATCCAAAGCCTGGCTCTGGCACTAGAAAAGAGTTAGCACAGTGTTCTTCAGAGTTCGCAACGTGTCAAGTTCAACTTACCATCTCCCAGTAAATGCCGTGGTTCTTGATAAGGTCGGTATGCGTTCCCTTCTCGATCACCTTGCCCTCGTCAAAGACAAAGATGACATCAGCATTCTGGATGGTCGACAGCCGATGGGCGACTGAGATGACCGTCCTTCCACTTCGAGCTTGATCAATCGCTGCAGCAACAGTCTTTTCGGATTCTGAATCAAGAGCTGACGTCGCCTCATCCAAAAGCAACAGTTTCGGATCACGAATCAGCGCGCGAGCGATGGCGATTCGTTGCTTCTGACCTCCCGACATCGATACACCTTTGACGATGGTGTTGTAACCTTCCGGCAGAGAAACAATAAAGTCGTGGATAAATGCATCACGGCAAACCTGATGTATCCTTTCATCGGTAACGGAACCGGGATCAGAAATTCCGAAGAGGATGTTGTCTCGGATGGAGCCTTGAAATATGGCGGACTCTTGGGACACGAGCGAGAGGTTCTTGCGGTACTTGAAAACATTAGTGTCCTTGATGTCTTGATCATTGCACAGGATAATTCCATCGCCGCGCTGAACGTCGTAGAAACGCTCAAGGAGTGATATTATAGTAGTCTTGCCACATCCGGATGCCCCGACGAAGGCAGCATATTGACCCTTCTCGATTGTAAGGTTCAAGTGGTCAAAGACAGGGACGTCTCTGGTAGGATATTTGAACGAGACGTCTCTCAACTCTACCTTGACCCCTCCATCAGAATCGGCAACGACGTCGTCTTTAACAACTTCTAGATGATCCGGATCAACAGACCTTTGCACATCCAGGATTCGGTTCGCAGAAGCGGTCACTTGCACAGCGCTAGGTGCCATGGCAAGTCCCATACTACCAGCCTCGGAGCCCTGGATGACAGCCATGAAACAAACGAAGAATGCTTCCATCGAATACTCACCACTAACCAACAGGGTACCGCCATACCAGAAGAGTAGCGCTTGAACACCGAGACCAACACTGTCTGCGAACCCGAAGACAGCCGAAGTCCATTGAGCCTTGCGATTCGCAGCCTTGACGTGGCCATTCAGAAGCTCGCGATATCGGCTATTAATTGAATCCTCCATTGTAAGGGACGAAACCGTTCGGATCGCCTGAATAGCTTCAGTCGCAAACTGCGAGCTCTCCATAAATACAGCCGAGTTCATCTTGTCGAAATGGACTTCGTGTTTAAACTTCCAGCATCCTGCCGTCAACATGACCGGCAAGGCAACAGACATACAAATCAATCCGAGCTTCCATCCAAAGACGAGGGATATGGTCGCACAACCGATGACGTTGAACATGGCTGAGATCATGAGTGCGAGATTGACACCGAGGAGCTCCTCCAATGACTTCGCGTCTCCAGAGACACGAGAACTCAGTGTGCCATGAGAATTCTCCTCCTGATCAAAGAAGAGCATCTTCTGATACAGCATGTCGCCCAGGTACTGCGACTTGTAAACAGCACTAATGTAATACTGAGTGTGCAGACCTATCCAACCTTCGCAAAAATACGAAAGCGCAACGCCGCCGGCAAGAGCGAGCCACATGAGGCCCCAGAACTCGCTCTCGCTCTTCAACTCGTCGCCTTGGAAAAGGAACACGCCGATAGCCTTTGCAAAAAGCCAGGCTTGGATAGGCGTTGCAGCTGCGGCAGCCATGGAAGACATGAGGATGCCCAAATAGCTTGGCCATTTGGCCCGTTGTTCGTAGAGTAGTCGACCGAAACTTCGGAAGAGACCCCGAGGCTTCTCGGATTGCTCTGTTTCTTCCAGACCGGACACAGAAGTGGCCACCTTGGTCATCTCACGGTCAGAGGTCTGTGCAGTATCCTCGGCATCAGGCATGAAGGTGCTACCCTCTGCCTGATCAGCAACCTGAAGAGACTGAGCCTTGACCAAAGCCGAGTATACTCCAGACTTGGCGATGAGGTCTGCGTGCACGCCCTGCTCGACAGCCCTTCCATTCTGGAGAACAATGATATTGTCTGCCTTCTTGATCGTGGACAGGCGATGAGCAATCGTGATGGTTGTGCGACCCTGGGTTACTCTGTCGAGAGCAGACTGGACGGTCTTCTCACTCTTAGCATCGATGGCGCTCGTGGCTTCGTCGAGAATGATAATGCGAGGCTTCTTGATGATACTCCTAGCGATGGCTAGGCGTTGCTTCTGACCACCAGACAGCTTTGCACCGCCATCGCCGACGCGAGTGTCGTACGCCTAAGTAAATTTGTCAGTGATAGTCCGGAAGGCATCGGTCAATACCTTGAACTTACATCGGGGAGCCGATCGATGAACTCATCCGCGTATGCTTCCCTGCAAGCCTCAATCACAAGGGCGCGTTTCGTTACCTCAGTTTCGTCTTGCCATTCCGATCCAATGAGACCGTGAGCGACGTTGTTGAAGATGGTGTCATTAAACAAGAAGGGCTCCTGCTGGACAAGACCAATCTGGGATCGCCACCACTTGAGATCAAGATCTTCGATGTTGTGGCCAGCGATCGTGACTGCACCAGATAACACAGGGGCGTCGGCGGCTTGTGCATTCTCGTCGGACTGGGTTTCTTCAGTCTCATCAGTCTTCTGCTGTGGTGTTGCTTGAACGACCTTGGGAAGGATGTGATGCTCCTTCAAGGAGTACCAGCGCTCGAGTAATCCGACAATAGTGCTCTTGCCAGAGCCTGACGGTCCAACAAGTGCTGTGTTCTGGCCAGAGCGGATACAGAAGCTCAGTGCATCTAACACCCTGACGCCAGGCCGACTTGGATATTCGAAGGTAACACCGTCGAAGAAGATGTCGCATGAGGTAATGTCTGGTTTGAGGGATCCGGAGGAAGGTAACGTGGCATCGATGACAGTAAAGAATTCGCAAGCAGCAACCATCGCCCTACTGACAGCCATCAACGGTGTCGCGATGCGCTCCAAGGAGGTGAGGATGAGCATCACTGACATGAGGACAATGATGATGACTCCGGGGTTGTCGATTGCACCGTCGATGTATCTCTTGGTACCGTACCAGAATGAGAGCCCGAAGGTGCCGAAGACGCCGAAGAACTACTATTGTCAGTATCACTTTGATATAAAAGGGCTTCTGTTCAACTCACAACAAGACTTAGATGAAAGCCAGTGACGGGCGCTGTCCTCTGGCCTTCTTTCATGGCCTTGCCGACCCATTCCCGGTAGCGGCTAATGACGCGAGACTGGGCGCCACAAGCTGTGACAAGACGGATGCCCTGCAATGCCTCACTCGCAATAGCTGTGCCTTGAGCATCAGCTGCACCAATCGTCGCCTGCCTCTTGACGAGGATAGGCATGGTGATTGACAAGACAGTTCCCATGTACAGGATCAAGGATGCTGTCACTAAAGTGATATCCCAACTCCACACGAAAGCGACAATGATCGCGGCCCAGATAGTACCATTAAACTCCAAGAAGGTACCCAAGCGTTCCGAGATACCAACCTGAAGCGTGTTCGAGGTAGATGTGATGGCAGTCGCAGGTGCACCAGCTGGCATCGAGTCAATGACATGGATGGACTGAGCGAAGAGGGATTGAAGGTAATGGAGTCGGATAGCAGATGAGAGACGAATGCCAATCATCCGGAAGCAATACTTGTTGATGGTGTTGAGAGCCCAACGGCCAAGGAAGAGAGCCATAATGTATAGAGCTTGTTGGTCCAGGATCTCTCGGAAACCATCAGTGGAGATCTCAGTGCCGGGTTGGAAGTATTCTGTGAACTGGTCGACGAGTTGGCCGAAGATGATGTTCATCAGAGGCATGGTTATCCCAGCACCGATTGAAGCGACGGAAGCTACAGCGTAGATGACAAAGTCCCATTTTGTAGCGTAGCTGAAGACTCGGAGGTAGTCGGAGACCTGAGGAGTTCTTTGAGGTTGTTCGTTGGTCTCGGCCGTCGAAGCAGGCTTCTCGTTGTCCTTTTTGTCGTCATCTCGAGGTTTCGGATCGGCAGCCATGACGGAGGCAAGGAGAGGTTGGCTTTATCTGTCTTCAAAGACATGTTAGTTGGATATTCAGAGGCGTTCTCATATGGAATAATGAAGACAGGGACGTTACTGTGGTGGAAGTAGATCTTGGCGCTGGAGTAGGCCAGCAGCGGGTAGGTCCACTGAAAGGCCAGAGGCGTAAGAGAGGAAGGAGCAAGTTGCGTGCGGAAACATCAACAGAAAATGGGGAAAGAGTCCTAAACGGCGGCGTTTGTGACCTGGTATATGATGAGTACAAGGAAAGCCCATAAACCAAGGCTTCCGGGTCTTTTTGTAACACATTTTGGCTTGTTCTTATTGTTGCCTCATATTGTGTCGCGCACGGTTCGTAAAGACGATTACCGTTTTTGGCGGTTTACGAGGTCCACTTTTCTCGGATTCTTGAGAGTGGATACTAACTCCATCACAATATCCAATCAACACACGCCGTTTGACACTGCTAGAATCCGCTGAAAATGGGACGATGTCATTTCTCATCTTGGCTCCTCAGCCGCACATCTTGCCCATTAGGGACTGTTACGAAAAAGCTCCTTTATAGCGTCCCTTACTCCAGTAATTCAGGCCAAAGTGCAATCATATCCCCCATGAGAGGCTTCCCGTCAGCAGAGAGGGGTCGTCTATGCCACTGTACCCCATCGAGATCGCCCTGCTGAGGTACCTCAGCAGTCTCTTCAACTAGCCCCCATTTTCCAGTCACTGGATCTCTATCTTGGAAGCACAACACAATGCGTTGACCGCCTTCCTCGAACATGTACTCTCTGCGTAATAGACGACGCCATTGATCTTGAGATGTACCCTCTGACGCGTTGATGCGCTCCACGCTTCTGTTCTTCACTGCTAGAACATACATCGACCGCGCGTTCCAGATTCCATCCTGGCTGGGGTAATCTTTCAGCATCCAAGCAGCTTCATCACGAACTAGAGCGTCGCGACAGAATATCGAGATGAGGAAGAGATGTAACGCTAGGTCACATTGTAGAGAGAGTCGATGTGCTGGGCTCTTTAAGTCCCGCCTCGCTGTGCGTAGACTTATCTCAGCCAAGGAAAGATATTCTCGAAAGAGCGGAGTCTTTGCCTCGATTGGCGTCGCGTCGTGAAAATGCGAGAGATCTTCGAAAGTACAGCTGCCCAGATAATGCAGTCGCAGATGTATAGCTCTGATGTACTCCGTCGATCCGGGATCTGACATAATGGCGCGATTGAACAGTGGCATGAAAGCGGCTTCAAGCGCTTGTAGCTCCTTTGTAGAAGCATCGCATATTTCTTGAATGCGAGGATCAGCCATGATCTGCTCCCAAAGTGAAGACATGACGTTTGGGTCGGTGGACTCTAGAGCACCCGATTTGTGCACTGCTTCCATCAGAAGAGGGCCAACAGCCAGTTTGGCGTTTCGACCCGTCATCCAATATTGTTCGAATTCATCGAGATTGTTCAACACAGGAGGAAGTTTGTCGGTGGCAGGATATGATCGAGGTAAGTTGCCTATCCGTTTCATGAAAGAGTCGACAGTCTCTCGTTTCGCTCGTAAGCCTTTTGCGAAGTTAGGCACTGCTGGACTCCGACCAATACTTCCTTGTAGGATTGATCTCGTTTGAGGAAGCAAATGGATGAATATGTCTCCCACCACGGCAATGAGAGGTTTTGGGTTTGGGGCCAAAGAGGTCATCAGCTGTGATTCTGGATCTGTGACGAAAGCAAGTAGCATCGCCAGTCCATGATTGATGTGGTCTAGAGCAGCTTTCCTATTACCTCTCAACGTCTCAAAACACAAGAATAAAATAGACAGAAAGACTGCGTCCTGAATCGAAGGCTGCTGGCTCTGTAGCTTGAGAGCATGGCAATAGTGCGCAAGAGCATTCCGATAGTCTGGATCGTCTCGTGCAGCTTCGCATTCATCAATCTGCGATAAACCAGGCGACTGATTGCCAGACTTGCTAAGCCAACTGCTTAACGCCCCAATAGCAATAGCAGCATGCCGTACAACGTCGTTGGTTCTAGCAACCTGGGGTAGCGTAACAGCCCACAAATCATTGTTGAATCCAGCAGCTATCCATGGACTCTGCACAACTCCCACAAACTCGTTGAAATACACCATACTTATGGCGTCTCTAAAGTCCAGCGAGTCATGACTGAAATGTAGCTGCGCCTTCAAAGGAGCAGTCTGAGCAACTTGTTTCGAATTCCAGACGATTTGACCGGGCGATGTACTTCGCTTCTTTGTTTGAATAACATAGCCTTCGCATTGCCTCCGATTCCTCACACAATTACCGCAATGCGGCTTTCCTTCGTCACATTTGACATGACGTTTCTTGCAAGTGATGCAGCCTGTTCGGACTTTGCTTGTGCTTGTTCGTGGAATCTTTTGCTTGGGATTATTTGTAGGCAGAATAACAAGCTTTGTTCCCATTGTGTTGTCGGGAGGGACTTTGAGAAGACTGGGAGAAAGAAACATCCAGGGTATCGAGAAAAGCAAAAGGCTAGAGGCGTGAGCTTGAGATAGGGCAATTTAATTACTTCAGGAATGGTCAAGGTGACTAAATTATTCGGTCCCTGATTTACTGCTGACATTACAGAGGACCAAGTCATGGGTGGTTAATTGCATATTCGCGGGGTTGACTAAGGCCATCAAGCGCTCCGGGTATTCTTCCGCCCATCTTGTCTCACTCCATCGATGCCAAGCCCCCAAGATACCCTCTAGGATATCACAATCCTGCTCTGCTAACAACAAGGCGATATTAGTTTCAAATTACAAAGTGAACTTTGATCATTTCTCTACCATATACAGTAGCCTAAAGATGGAAAACGCCGCATGAGACCCTTGTCTAATAAGACAGCAGCATGGCCGTAGGGTATCATAAGAACTGGCCATCATAAGCAAAAGAGACGAAATAGTTTAGTTATCTTATGCAAATTTAGATTAGCATTTAGGCTTCTTGATTCTCGTAGCCTTAGCCTTTGGGGACATTTCTTCCATTGCCCATGTACCTATATGGATGGTAACATCTCTGACTTCCTTCTTTCTAGTACCCCGTCTCAATGGTACTGGTATGATCGTGCCTGCCCAACACCAAGTAACTTCGTCTGAGGACGTACGACAGCACCTGTCATGAAGAAAAGCCCTCCAGATAGTCGCAGACGCCGTGCCAAACCCCGGACAGTATCTGCCCCAAACAACCGTTCACGAGCCCATCTTAATGGTCCGTTCGAGGCTAGAAAGAGACCCATCTTACAGCCTATCGCCAACGCCTCTACAGGCACAGAGAAGCGAGCAGCACCACAGAAAGATCTCACAACGTTTACCAATACAGACAGCGAAATTGCGCTAGGGTATGAGTCAGACATTAAGGAGTCTCACGAGTCTACCATCACCAAAGCAAAGCCGTCGACTTCCGAGACCTACCACAAGGATAATATCCTCTTTGGACCAGCTTGGCTCAAAGAGATATATGACGGCTACATTGCCGAAGAAAAGAGACTGCAAGAGACACTCGCCGCTTTGGAGCATGATATCATGGTCACCAGGGAAAGGAATGTGAGGCTCGAGCGTGAGCTTACGGCGAAGCTTGAGAAACTCTGCGCGGACGATGTTGAGTGATGGGTTTTCATGAGGCTACAAATAAGACTCTTAGGGTTTCGGTAATGTTAGAGTTCAAGAATGCACTACTTTACAGTTATCTGGTGTTGATTCATGTGATGTCGGAAGTGAGTGACCCTAAACGATTTGGACAGTGATAACTACTCGGGGTTTGCTTGTGACACATCTGGTAATAAAGATGCCCGCAATGCGTACTTAACAAAACAACACTTTTGATCACACGAACGTGATGACCAAACTATATACAAGGAGATAAATATTTACTCATTTTTCCAAAGCCCTTGTTTCTTTCAAATACATCCCTGGCACTCCTTCTTTTTACTACCCTAGGTACTCACAGCACGTCCTAGTTCCACTAGAGACCGAACCACTTGAAATCATCATCTTCATGAGCAGGCACAACATGTCCAACACCAGCAGCAGAAACAGCTACAAACTTGGTTCCATCTCCGTAGATCTTGGTAGTATAGCCGCTCTGAGGAGTGTTCGCCTGGTCACGAGTGAAGGAAACACCATGGAGCGTAGACCACTCCTTAATCTGCTCAAGGAAGTTCTGATAAACAACCAAGTTATCAGCAGTACCGTGCCAGGTCTTGAACTTGGGGTAAGAACCGCTGTAGCCAGGGTACATAGCCTTGACTTGGTCGGCCCATTGTTGTCCAGACTTGACCACCTTTCCGTCAGAGCAAACACGGTCAGAGCTGATGGGACTGGATCCTGGAGATCCGGCCATGCATCCGGCAGCAACGCCAGAGTAGCATGTGGCAGCAGCGAAACGGTCGGGGTACGTCGCGATGAGAACGTTGGTCATCATGCATCCGGAGCTGGTTCCAGTAACAAAGACCTTGTTGCGATTGGCGTTGTAGCGCTGGATGACATAGTCGACCATGCTGACCAGGACCTGGCTGTCACCCTGGCCGTCGTGCTTGAGGGTCTTGGCACTGGCGACATCCCAGCAGTTGAAATCCTTGGGGGACGAAGGGAAGATGAGGATCGCGCCGCGAGAGTCGGCGAGCGACCTGTACTTGGTCTGCTGGAAATAGCCCGATCCGCTACCACCACAGGGGTGCAGCTGAGTAGTGGGTTAGTTCCAAGCCCTGATAGTTTTGGTGGGTTACTCACGGCAAGAATGACAGCCGGGTTAGAAGGCAGGTTGTTGGGGATGTAGGCCTGCATCTGCAGCTGGGTGCTGTACGTCGGTCCAAAGTTGGTGATAGTCTGGAGCTGAGCAGCAACCAGGCCAGCGCCCAGGGTGAGCTGTGTCAACAGCTTTCGCGGCGAGAGGAAGTCAAGCATGATGGATACTCTGAATCTAGCTATTCTGTGATGGCTGTCACTCTCTTCCTCGAGCGAGGCCGATCATTGTTTTATACTCCATTCCCGTTATTACCATGATGTCGATCAGGATGAGTTTCAAGTGCCGACCCTCAATACCGCCAGATACGGAGGCAGGGTGTCCGCTACAAGACCCCGCATGTGTCTAAACCGGAAATATCAGCAAATGTTCTGATTCCTGTTGATTAAATACTAGGGCTGATAGCGTCGCATGCATGTATAAACAAGCAAAACTGCCATGTCTATATCATGTAGATTAATTACAGGAGGCATCATTTATGCTCCCCGCGCTATAGATGCGGTCTGCCGACAGGCGGAAGCTCACGCTCCGAATATACCAGAAACAGCTACTGGTACTTGGCAAGGCAAAGCAACTTGCCGAGCTGGCTAAACACCCTGGTCTTGTGTCGGATTCTCCCGTTTATTACCAAGGTTTTCCATATTGAAACAGATCTGCAGGCTGAGGCTCAATGGCAGAATGCGAATGTATTACCCGTGATACGACGTTCCTAGTAACAGGGAAGACCTTGCTTCGCTATAGCCTCCGCGGCCATGCCCATAATGTTTCTGATGATCGCTGGTCGGGATAAGACAATTGATGTTGTAAAGATAAGCAATATTAAGAGATCATCATATAAATTATACAAATACTTCTGGTAATGCCATTTATCTAATACCCAATCCCCCAACGCCCAGAAAATGTGATATATCCGACCGACAACTCCAAACAATGATAGATAGGTCATTAATTAGGTGGCGTCAAAGGAAGCTTCTGCTTGAGCTTGAACTCAGCGTATGGTCCATACCGCCATCGCTTGCTGTTCTCCTCTGCCCACCATCGAGCCATTGAAGCTCCTTCTTGAACCCAACCCTCCACGGCGTCAATCTCCTCCATCGGCATTGCGAACCGTTCATCTAGTTCATGTGTAATACTGTCGAGGAAGGTACCAAAGTCGAAGCCCTGGATTGCAAATTGATCCATTGGGTCATAGGTCAGATTGGTGTAGCGCCATTCAACGTTGTCGACGAGGGGAATGACGAGGTGACGTTCGGGATAGCGAGCGTCACGGGCTGTTATCATGGCACGACCGGGATTGACGATTGTGAACTGCCAATTACCCTGGCCTGTTGTCTCGTTCTGATTGATCTGTGGGCGAATGAGGGACTGTCCCTCATAATTGCGGACCAGGTCAGCAGCAACTTGCTGGCTGCCATTGTTCAAAGAGCCCGTCTCGAGAAGAATGTCAAGGATCGTGGGCAGGATCTGCGACGAGTGTACCGCATCATGGACGTCAAAGGCCGGCAGTAACGGGTGCGATACCACTAGAGGAACGTGGTCGACACCGACATTGGGGTTATAGTATGGGGACACGATGTCATTCTCAGGCATCGATAACCCGTGGTCGCCAACGAATACAATGAGGGTCTCGTTGGTAACACCTTGCTCATCAAGCAGATCCAATACCTTGCGTATCCACTTATCGTCGTACCCTTCGGTATTGACGTAGTGGGACAGCATGTCATGGCCTTTCGCGACCGGGACGTATTCCTCTTTCTCGGGCAGTTTGAAGGCGTGATGGCTGGTGCTGGTAATGTGCGAGAGGAAAACCCGTTCGTTCTTCTCCTTGGCCGACACAAAAGCATCGCGAATGTAATCTTCTAGAGGATCCTCCTCGAAAGCGAAGGCGTTGATGTTGGGCAGCGTGACGGCACCGTGCGTCGCATTATCCGATCGCAGGTATTCTCGATTGACGACATGTTCCTTAGGGAATCCGATTCCGTCAGTCATCATTTCGTACTGCTTGTCAAACTGCATGGTAGAGGCCTGGAAGAAGTACGACTGCCAAGTAGACCCATTGTACACATGCGAGTCGTCGCCTTCCGGGGCGCCAGCCTTGTTCATGGCATTGAATATATGCGGCAGACAGGGCTGGTATATGTGGTGTTTGTAGTCGAGATTGAAGTCTGCCAGTAGTGGTGAAATGCCACAGAGGGTTCCTTCCAAGCTCTTGAGTGTATATGTCGCTGTAGTATGGGCTTTGGTAAAACGAGCTCCGCCGCGTTTCACCTGATCTGCCTTGAGGTGGTCGAAACCGTCGTCGTAATCGCCAGTGATAAAGTTCGCTGTCGGGGTCAAAGTCGCGAGTCGACGCATCGCATCTGGAGGAAGACCTTTCTCGCCAAAGCTTTCGACCAGTCGATTCCATATCACACTCTCCTTCTTAAGAGGGAACACATCATTTCGTGTACTTTCGAGGAAAAATAGGAGGACGTGTCGGACGGGGACGTCTTGTAGCTTGTCCTCCAGTTCGGCAAGGAGATCTTGGTCGAGGTTCGAGATCTTCGAGGGATCGGCGTCTGCATTGTAATGATCTTTGCCGTTATACCAGTCCTCGAAGCCAGCCAGCTTTTGTTCTTTTGGAAGCCAGTCCAGCGTCGGCGGCATGCCGAGAGCTGTTTTATTGTCCCATGAACGTTGAATGCCAACATATCGCATTTGCGGCAGGTTTTGTAGGACGGGCGACGAGGCGGAAAGGTCGACGAAAGGCATCAAGGCAGGCGTCCATGAAAGGAAGATAAGCGATCGGTCTATCGGTCGTTCGAAGGCTGCGTAAAGGAGCAGGAGGACAATGAAGGTGAACAGCATGTAGATGATCATGTCGGCGACAGCCTTGCATGCAAAGCGCGGGATCGCCCGTCGTATGTGAGCATCGTGGTCAATCGCATCGTCGTATTCGCCGCTGCGACGCTTGACTTGGTCTTCGATATCGATCTGTGGAACTTGCAAGTAGTTACTCCTGCGTAGGACGAATCGACTGAACAGGCGCCATGTCATAGCGAAAGGCCAATTGACGACATCGGCGAAGTAGCCGTAAATGCCATAGCAAATGTTCTGGAACAGCCACGAGGCGACCAAGTTCAGACAAAAGGCCATGACAAACGACAGGCTTCCCGAGAGTATAAGGGCTCGCGACGAGGGATCGGTAGGTAGGGAGACATTTCGGAGGTGGATTTCGGAGCCCGCGGCGAGGTAGAAGGAGACGAAGATGAGGCTAAAGGCAGCATTGTAGAACATGAAGAGGCCATTGAAGAGGGCGACCACGACGCGTAGGATGAAGGGGCCGGCGAGCCAGTGGTCAAGTAGGAGTCGGATAAGGGTGAGGACAGCGATGTCCTGGGCGACGAAAGAATAAGCCCATTCTTGTAGGTATGTAGGATGAACCGCTGTGCGATGGTCGTGGATGTGAATGATCTTGGCGCTCCACACGGCCAGGGCTGTGAAGGCAAAGAAGAATCGACGGTTGGCGAAGCGGAAGACGAAAGCGGAAAGGCAGCGCCCGACCGCCTTGGCGGGCGTAGGTATATTCATGATTAAAGAATGTTAGGATAAAAGGGGACGACTTCGAAAAGAACCGAGACGAAACGCCTGGAGCAGCAGCCGCGACGACAGCCCAGGGCCGATCGCGGTTTCCTTCGGGCGCAAGGCCTCTCGAAAATTACCCAGATGATGGTCGCAAACCAGTACGAACCATGACACTCCAGAAAGGGGGGTTCTAGGTTAAACAAGCTTTGGCATAAGCAATAGTGCCAAGAGATTTGAGGAAAGAAAGAAAAGGAAGGGGTTCTACCGCGATTCCATGAATGACAAGGCTAACGTAAGATATATAATTAATTTTCCGCGATTGTAACTTTGAGTGGCAGAAAGAGGCGCTGCCTTGTTTTGCGTTATTTCCATTGCTCGCCGGGCGCGACAGCCATGAAGATCTTTTGGCTGTTACTGGGGCCTGGGGATAATTGGATTCATTGCCAGCGGGGTACAGAAGATTGGAGGAAGCCTTCAAAGGGGCAACAGAAAGCTTGAGAGTGAAGCTTATGGGTGGTCAGAAATAACCAACCCAAAACTCCTGCCAGACTGGCGAAAAGTGGTCAAGTTATTTCGTTTCTCCAGACACCCTGTGCGCCTCGTTTCCAGGCCCCAATTTATTCAGGGTCTAGATCCGCTATGACGGGCTCCAGAGACTGATGATTGGGGGATGGCAAGTCATCAATTCCAGGGGCTCAGCGACGCCAAAGAGGGGCGCAGACACCAACAAAGTCTAGATTGTGCCCGGCAGCCGGGCGCTGTTCCAGTTGTCTTTTGATGGTTCAGCCTTATTTCCATCGCCAAGAATAGAAAAGAACAGTTGGAATCTTGGCTTCATTTAGCTCAGTGCTTTTGACAGCTTAATTCTGTTAGATATCGACACTTTGTGCGTAGGATTAAGGTAAATGACGATCAACTCCACTATAGCATCTCGAAACATACCGACTTTGTTACGAGTGTCTTTTCCCGAGAACTGGCAATGACTCGGTGACAACTAGAATAGGGTACTGCCGAACAACCGTACTGCATCATTTGACCGTTGTAAAAATGCATGTGCCGCACTGCCAGATGAGAAATGGTGTCAAAATGCCAACACTGCCCCGATCTTCAAAGCTTAGCTGACTGGCTTGAGCTCCGCCCCCAATTCGAGGATGCCAATCAGCTGGTGGGTCTCTGTTGGCAGTTGCTAAGGGTTACTTGAAGACTCGGCCAAATTCTACCTGGTGATGATGTACTCTTTAACGCCAACCATCCGCATCAACAAAAATGTTGCCACATCACCAGAGATTGTAATTCCACTACCTAATAAGGACAATGAGGAACAACTAGTCTATGTTCGGAGTTACTTCCGAGTAAGTTTTACAAAAACAATGCTCTCAAGCTTCTGAGCAGAATGGCAACGGCGGTGGAGGTGACTGACCACCTCGTTGCGCTATTGCAGATCTTAAGTTTGTTTTGAGCACGTATGGATTGGATTAATGTTAACACAACCGTCCAACGCCGCTGACCAGTGGTATTTACTTTCACCGACCTCATGTAAAAATGTACTTCTATTTTATGTCTGTGAATGCATAAGAGATTACTCTGTCTGAGAGAATACTCCTGACGGTTGAGCTCCAGAATTGGAAGGTTGGATCGTTTAGGGTAAGCTTCCCCGCGAAACGCGTCGCGGTCCTAACCCAATTGAGGGGCTCAGCGCTCAGCAATGATGGGAACCATGACAATTAGCACAACTATTCACGAGATGCTTGCGCTTGATGTATAACATGTGAAATGGTATTATCGAAATTACCAGTCTCCAACAAATGACCTGTAGGTCGGTATCTTGACCTCCCGATGGGGGTGTACGCCGCCTTGCTGCTGTCGCATATCCGCCCATTTCTCTTTCATCAATCCCCTTCTACGTTCATCCTCGGTCTTCTCATCGGGCTCTCCAGGGCCCTTTTCCAAGTCGCCTTCAGTTTTGGCCTGACTCTCCGCTTGACTGTCCTTTTCATTCACAATCTCCCAATCATCGTCTTTGTCTGCTTTTACTTTAGCCATGGGGCGCGTTGGGGGGGTAAAAGGCGTACTTGTGGGAACTTTGGAGGTCTTTTCATTCTCGGCGTTCGATGACATCCTGGATTACGAGTGACCGGGTGTGAATTATTTTGCGAGTTTCTGTTGGGATCGTGCAGAGGGAGAGTGAGATGGTGAGAAATGGAGGACGAGTGAGTCTGGAGGCAAAACGCGTAGGCAGTGAGTGGCGAGTTTGAGCGATACCCTGCTGATTGATCTCGTGACTTGGAGACGCCTTCACAATTGGACCTTGACTTTACAATTACTTGATTGCGCTCGTCTTGCTTCATGTCATCTGGTGCTTTAACTGTTTGCATGTCGAGCTACGATGCGCCAAGGTGATGTCTCTTCGATGCTACGTACTTGGAGTTTGACTAAGTCTGTAAAAGAAACGATAAAGCCTATTGATGAAACCTACTGGTACTAAAAACGTGCTAATATCGAATTAAAGGTCTAGTAAAGACCCGGAATCTCCCTTTCCATCATCCTCCCAGTCTTTCCCACCCCTCTCAGCAGCAGCCTTGTACACGCTCGCAATCTCACTCTGCCACTTCTCAACATCCGGCCTTACAAAGCGACGGTCATACGTGATCAATCCATTGACCTCACCTTCAACATCGCTGGTCTGAGTATAAACAGCGCCACTGCATGCAAAGCGTTGAGTTTGCTCGCGGATGTCGCGGAATAAGACTCCAGATCGGTAGTTGTATGAGTCGAGGTCTTCGTTGATCTCGTATGTTTCTGGGATGCTGTCTATGGCTTGTTTGACGTTCCAAAGACTGGGATGAATGTTAGAACTCAATCAGTGTATATGATTGAAGGGAACTTACTGCTCGATGGAGACGTTGTGGCCGATACCACCGTATTCACCAGCGATGCCGATGCGCTCGGGGTCATATGGTGTCTTGGGTTGAGAGTAGAACGGTGTTCCGCACTGAGGCGCAGCATAGTTGTGATTGTCCTAGGGAAGAATTAGTAACAATTCTAGTCGATCTCGAGGAGTTCACTCACATGGAAATCGCCATATCCATGGTCATCCCACCCGCTGACAGAGTTGATGAGCCGAGAGTCATCGAGCTTACGGAGAAGCCCTGTCAAGTCCTCTTCCGGAGAACCATCTCGCTGACCCCATGCTTCATTGTAGATGACCTATTGAGATTAGTATGTCGTGCTAGCCTTACAAAGGATTTCATATCTTACCCAAGTCGTGATCGAAGGATAGCTCTTGTGCTGATTGACAAGAATCTCAAACTGTCGCCTGAACTCAGCTTGCTGCGCATCATTTGGTTTCCGGTCGCCAGCTGGGAGACTCGGCATGTCTTGAATAACGAGAAGACCGAGCTCGTCACAGGCTTGATAGAAGAGATGAGGCTCATATTTGATCTATGAAAGTTAGTGCAGAGTTCTAAGACAAGAAGAATGAGAGCACTCACATGTTTCCTCACCATGTTAAACCCAAACTTCTTCAACAACCTCAGATCAGAGACCATCGCCTCGCGGTTCGGCGGTGTGTACAAGCCATCTGGCCAGTATCCCTGATCAAGCGTACCAAACTGGAACACAAACTCACCGTTGAGTAACGGTCGTGTGACATTCTCAACCTTACCCTTTGAGATGGTGCGGAAACCGGTGTAGCTGTGGACTTTGTCTCCGCTACCGAGTGTTACAGTGAGGTTGTAGAGTGTTGGGGAATCGGGCCACCACAGTTTTGGCGATTTTGCGGTGAAGCTGAATTGCTCATCTGTTGTTCCGTTGTGTGACGCGATGTTTGAGCCGTCTGAGCCGGCGATGGTCACTGAGACCGGCTTGGCAGATTGCTCTGATGTGTGAACTGTGACGGCAACTGAGACGGTTAGTACCACTTCATGCTGCCGAGAAGAAAGGAAGCTTACCTTTGCCATCTGAACCGGCTGCTATGTCGAGCTCAGTGATGTAATTCTCTTTGGGAACAGCTTCAAGCCAGACTTGTTGCCAGATACCAGAACATGAGCGATAGAAGATGTGACTAGGGCGCAGCGTCTGCTTGCCGATAGGAATGATCTCATCGTCTGTTGGATCACTCACAAAGACGAGTCTGCTTTTGAGTTAATTGATGACTAGCTAAGCAATGATTGAGAAGAACACTCACAGTTCATTTGACTCGCCAAACCTGATATCGTCAGTCACGTCAATAGTAAACCTGTCGTATCCACCAACATGGTTCATCTTTTCTTCGCCGTTCACGAATACGGTCGAGTTGTAATCCACAGCCTCAAAATGGAGCAGAACAGTCTGATCCTCCCAATCGTCTGGCACTTCAAAGGATCGCTGATACCAAAATTCTCGCTCGTCGAGGATCTGCAGTCCGGACAAAGCGCTTTCGATACAAGCTGGAACAAGAACCTCACGATCTAGAGGCCCTTCTTCGGGAGGACTGCTCAAGTCCCCATCACCTTTCCACGTCCAAATGCCATTAAGGCTCTTCCACGCGTCGCGCTTGAGTAATGGTCGCGGATGTTCCGGCCATGGATTAGTGCCAACTTTGTAAGTCCAGTCTGTATCCAGTGGAGGTTTCTGGACTTCGTACTTTGTCTGCGCAGCGACGCGGGAACAAAGCCCCGTGAGGGAAGCAATCTTGAACCAAAACATGATTGCAGATAAAAGCTACACAGATCATGGCACCCACGAGCGACTGCGTTCCCTTTTGTATCCCCCTGGGCATTTCCTTCCCCGCATACCAGCGATTCAAGCTTAACCTTATGACGTCTACACGGGACGTGATCATGCTATTTCCAGTGCTAAAATGCCCCGCATCCCTGGAGATCATCGCGCTAAATTGCCTAAACGCATACAAAATGGTGTTCTGTTTCCCTGTAATTTGGAGAACGCAGACAAAAATCCCCCGAAGGATGAGGCTTTGCTTATTGGGCTGCTAGTTAAGCTTTGCCGATGTTGTATCCGAAACTCCATTCAGCATTAACATCATCTGATCACTATTTCGCATTGATCCTTCGGGTCGATTGACCCCGAACGCACGCCTTGTACGACGGAACAGCCTCGGGCCAGCCAAAGAAGCGGGACAAGGGGAATGGTATCATGGCCTCAAGTCTTGGGGTACTTCATATATATTAAGCTAATAAATCGCATATAAAACCCCTATTAATGCTCAGTCTTACAAACTGCAAACGCGCTTGAATCCAAGACTGTCAATGTTGACTTGGATTTGGCGATACTCTCCCATGCAGGATGCGGTAAACTGCAAACTTGCCTGTGCGGCACTCAAATCCGTCAAGATGATGCTCGCTGTCTTCCAACCACCAACACTATCCTCGATCGAGCCACGACCGGAAGAACCTCCCACACTGAGCTGTATATCACATGTGAAGTCAGCACCGTCACTGATGCTGACAAAACGGTAATAGTATGAAAACTCGTAGGTGCCGTCCAGATCGGCCACGGTCTGTGAAACGATGCCAGCTTTATAACCACCACCGATGAGGGAGTAGGCCCTGGGACAGAATATTAGCATAGAACATGTGAGAATAAGAGGTGTAGTAGCATACACAGCATTAACGCCACTTTGAGGTGAATCTTGGGTTAAGACGCCGCCAGTGATTGACCACGGTGTAATATCGGAATTGCTGTCGTCGAAACCAGGGTTGCTAAGTAGCTGGGTTTCAACACAAGCTGAGGCTGCAGTAGTCGTCGTAGACTCAGTCTGGGCCGTGGTGGTAGACTCTGCAGATGTAGTAGTCGTAGTGACACCCACTGAAGCAATTGTCGTATCAGATGCAATTGATGATGCGCTCTCAGTACGGTCTGTTTCGCTGATGATCGCTGTCGGTTCCGCCGAGATGGTGGTGGTAGCATCGGCGAGAGTAGTAATCGCTGTCGAGTCCGAAGAAGTGGTCAAAGGTCGACAGGGCCCAGCCTCAACTCCAGAAAGGAATAGAGCTACAGCGGCAGCTGTAAGGTTGGAAACACGAACCATTCTGGTGAAATGGGAGAACAAAGCTCAAACGAGTGGACAGAACTGCAGGTGACGCAGCGCAATTGAATGAGTGTAAAGAGCGAAATATGTAAAGGGAAATAGAATCTAGAAACATGTAGCAGATGCCCCCCTTTTAAGTTCAGCTCCATGTCTCCTTGTCTGTTTATGGCGCTAGACATGGTTTCGACAGGAGGCTATTGCCAATAGTTCAGCAGGCCAGACGAAAGTTATCACAATGCCGAATTGACAAGCCCAAGAATTATACCATGCCCACATTGTACTAGCAGTTGAGTTCCGAAATGAATGGCGTGAAAACAGCTCATTTATTGCCATAGTAAATATCTGTTTGCTAACTAACAAGCTCCAATTCTCAAAGACCAAATCGCAAAGACCAGCTTATGCCCAAACTCCAAACCTGCACTCGAAAAGATACTAACTTAGTCAAAGCTGGTCTCCTGGAATGTGCTGCGAAGAGGCATCTCGTTATCATAGCCACCAGCCTCCTTCTTCATATGCCTATCAAAGCTCTGAGTCGACATCTGCACCTTCTCAAACCAGGTTCTATCCAGGACAGGCGCAGCGGGAGGACTCTGACCACGCGACTTGGCAAGCTCGGCCTGCGTGGCGTGGTTGTGAATAGCCAAGCTGGACGCAATCTGGAATGCGCTTCGGATCTGTCGGCCGTTCCAGCAGCCAGTGGATCGAGCGAGTTCCTCGTAGTGCTTGGAAGCAAAATCGATGATCTCGTTCTCCTTGATGACCAGCGCGGGCTCGCCTGTCATGCGGCTGCGCTCAGCCTCAATCTGCTTGAGCTTGCCGATGTTGAGGCGGAAGATGTCGCGCGTTTGGGTCTTGTCGAGAGGTGGGTAGTAGAGGGAGAGGTGAATGCGGGACTTGAAAGCCTCGTCGATGGTGCCGACTCGGTTGGTGGTCAGGAAGAGAAGACCGTTGTAGTACTCGAGGACTCGAAGGAAGACGGAGACCAGAGCATTACGCTTCATGTCCTGCTTGGATCGCTGGGTGAGGAATACATCGGCTTCGTCAAGAAGGAGAACACAGTCCCATAGGTGAGCCAGACGGAAGACGTTCTTGAGGGCATGTTCAACTTCATGGGGTGTGAGACCGAGATCACCACAGGTAATGACGAACAAAGGCTTGCGGTTCTCCATGGCGACAGCCTCTGCCGTAGCAGTCTTACCAACACCAGGAACACCATGCAGCAATACCACGAGACCACGACCCTTTCCTTGGATCAGATCCTGGCTGGGTCCCTCAGTCGCAACATCAGCGTACTTGCGCTCGAGAACCTTCCTCTGGAAATGAGACATGACCAGACCACGGACAACATCCTTGTAGTCGCGCTGGATACGAAGGTTCTCAAAGACACCAGGCTCACGTCGCACGGGCTTGAGGAGGTTGAGGTCGATGGGCAGGAAGCGACGCTCGCGAAGAGCATATGCGAACATACGCTTGGGAAGAAGGACAAGGTCCTCATCGCGAAGCTCAAGAGCCTTGGGGTTAGTCTCGAACGTTCGGCTGCCCTTAACACGAACGCGGAGGAAGGCGTCGACAGCAAGGTTGTCCCTTCGCTGACGACCCTCAACACCATCGGCATTCTGGATGATCTCATTCTGGGAGTAAGCCAGGTTGTGTCGAGAGCCGTTGAACCAGTGCTGGATGGGCATCTCGTCATCCTTGATCTCACATCGCGAAGACTTGTTGATCGTCAGTCTGTGGAAGCGAGGGCGCCAGTCGGGCATCTTCTGGTAGGCTTCGGTGAGATCGACGATAACGTCACTCTCCACGAACTCGGGATGACGCATCTTCTCGTAACCCTCGTTCTCGAGAATCTCATCGTCTGGCTCGGTGCCATTAGTAGGCGGGTTTCTGGTGAGCGTCCATGCGCTGTACTGTTGATGACGGTCGTCCAAGAAGTTGATGAACTGTCGACCCTGCGCCTTCTGCGTCTCAAGAAGTTGCTTGTGATCGTGGCGGTAACGAATAGGGAAGACTTCAAGGGACTCGATAGATCGCTCTCCTACGAAGGACTCAATCTCAAACTTTCGGCGCACAGCACCAAAGTTGTTTCCGTCATGGTCGATGTAGTAAGCAGAAATCTTGAACTTGGAGTTCTCGTCAATTTGCTGCTCGTCGGCGAAGAAGTCCCAGCCAGAGGTGGGATAAGAAGTCTCGGGCTCGGGGCTGCGGGTCTTGTACACGCGCCAGATCTCGTGGTATCGGCCGCCGGTCTCGCCGGATGCGGGCATGTAGATGAGGTCGCCCACACGGAAGAGGGACCAGAGATCGTCAAACTTGACGCGGTCGACGCTTGAGTCGTCGAAGCGGTTGTATAGAGGGAGGACTTCCTTGTCGATGAAGTCGACGTAGCATCGCATGTCGCGAAGCGCCTCGGGGCTATCCATGAGGTTGTCGTAGTCCTCATCTTCATTTGAGTCAACAGACAGGAGAGACTCTGTCTCATCCTTGTCGTTCTCCTCACCATTCTCGTCAGTCTTCTCGATCACCTCAGCCTCGACCTCTGGAACGTCAAGCTCGACTGCCTCAGAGCTCTCGCTGGCGAGATCTTCAAAGTCAGCCCACTTGTCCTCAAGAGTGCTGAGAATCTCTCGCATCTTGGGCTGGAAGTGAACAAGGGTCTTGAAGGGTCGCATGAATGTGCGAGGAGCAGATCGCTTCTCTGTGTCGTTCATGAGAGCGGTCAAGTGACCAAGGATAGGCTGAGACTGGATACGGATGCGCTGAATCTCAGCATCAGAAGCAGGGACAGCATCACCCTTCTTCTCACGTCTCGCCTTCTCGAAGGCATCAACCTTCTTCTCCTTAGGTCCCTCCACGAGACCAATGCTGGAGTAGTTCAACCAGTTCATGCGCATACGAGCCATCTCCTCACGTCGTCGGAGACCATGCTCACGTCGGATTTGAGCTTGAGTACCGGGACCAGACATAAGGACGTCGATGGCATAGTCAGGTTGGTCGACATCTTGGAATCTGTTTTTGAAGTTCTCAAAGTTGACCTTTCGGACTTCGGGAATCTTGGGTCGCCATTTGGAGGCTGTTCGGCGCTGGTCGGAGAGGATGCGCTCACGTCGCTCTGCCTCTCTCTTGAGAGCCATGTATTCAGCATCGCTCTCTTTGTGATGGCGCATGGTGTTGTCGCGACGACCGCCGCGTCTAGCTTTGGGTGTTGCGCCAGTGCGAGCCATGGTTGCTGATGTGGTTGTTGGATGAATGAAGATGATAGATTTGATGGTGGTATGCACCGACAATACCTCCTACTTATACTGCATTTCTCTTATTCTGAGGCGTTCCTGCGTTTTCATCGTGAAAATGGATAGGAAGGTACCCCCCAAGGCTTCATTGCCGGGCTGAGTCACTGCCGTCGGGTGCATCAATGCCCTTAGTGAGGATCCTTGTAGGCAGCAGTGGCGGAGCATCCAGTGGGAGGCCGCGCTAATGTGGATTGCCGAGCGCCAACTCAATCTCACCTCAGCGCTCAGCACGAATAAACCAATTGATCACGAAAGATCTATCGGATTGTTTCAGATGTCAAAGCTTGTGCAGGCAGAGTTGCATTGCCCAAGGCAACAGCTGTGTGGCTTGGTGATGCTCTTGCACTAGCTGCATCGCCAGTCTAGGTACTCAGGTACTTTTCTCCAGGGCCTCAGAGGAAGCACACCTGCCAAGAGCATGGGTGACAAAAGCAGAAGTCACTCGGCACGGTTTTGAAGGAGACTTTATGCCGAATGTTATTGGTATCCTGCTCTGGCACCGCATGTATAGCTCACCGTTGACCGCTCTGCTTATGCATAAGGCATGTTCCAGACCTGCGACATACGTAGTTCTCTATCTTGCCCCTATCATCGCATTCAAGTCCTGCATGCAGAGTCTGGGACTTTGGTGCCAGCCTAAATCCTACCTCTTCAATCCCCCGGCTTGCACACCCCACACTGCCAATCGGCTAGCTGACCGGACGCATGATAGTAGAAAATAGATGCCTTCTATCCTCAGATCATTCCTTATATGGTTAGCAATGCACAAAGCAGTGCATTCACGATCTCGGTGATCACCTGTTTGGGACCAGCGTGAGAGGCTCGCTTCGATACAAGATACAATTAGGGCCATGAGGCTCTTGTTCGAGAGCTAATCGAATGCCCTGACATTCTCTATATCGGTTGTTCTATCTAATTTGTAGTGGGGAAATTGTTCAAGCGACCGCCATCAACGACTATGACTGTGCCGTTACAATATCCACCTGCTCTCGAAGCAAGGTAGAGGAAAGTTCCTGACATATCCTTCTCATCTCCCATCCTTCGAAGTGGTGAAATCGTTGCCGGGATTTGACCGGGCTGTCCTGACTCGTCAGAGTACATCTTGACGATCGGCTCGGACATTTCACTAGGGAACACTGCGAGATGTTAGAGGCACTCTTGGGTACGTGGTGAGAACTTGGTACTTACATCCTGGGCAGATACAGTTGGCGCGGATGTTCCACTGAGGGAGAGTAACTGCAAGCTGCTTGGCCGCATGGACTGCACCAGCCTTGGACTGCCCATAAGCCCACCCACCAGGAGCCTTCTTGTTGAATGCAGCAATAGAGCTAGTAACAATGATTTGCGATGTCTGATCAACATTGGCCTTCTCGTTACCATTCTTCAACAGCCCAAGGAAAGCCATGCTGGTGTACCAGACAGAAACGGTGTTAATAGCGAAAGTGTTGACATATTCGTTAAAATCAGTATCGAAATTGGACTTTGCCCACTCCTCCATGGTAGTCTCGGGAGTCACAGGCTTCACTTGAGGTCCTCCGATACCAGAGTTGCAGACGAGGAGGTTAATGTATCCGGCATCCTTCTCGATCTGTGACACGGCGTTTTGGAGATCGGATTTAGATGTGACGTCGCACTGGACTCCAATGACCTTATCGCCCAATTGGCTGGTCACTTCATCCAGCTTTTCCTTTCTTCGTCCAGCGATGTATACTTTTGCAGCACCGTTTTGAAGAAGAGCCTTGACGAACATGAGACCGATGCCTGTCGAGAGTCAGTGTTGGTTGCTCCGTTACATGGCGAATGACTAACCAGTAGCACCGCCTGTTACGACCGCCACAAGGCCGTCGACGTTGAAGAGAGAGCCAGCGTTAAGTTCCGAAGCCATGACTATAATACAGTTAAGAAAATACTAGTGTTGTTCAGATGTTGGGAAGATGGTCAAAATTGAGGCAATTGGCAAACTATTTATTGTCTGCCCCGCTTGTGATTCAATCAAGCTGTCATGTCTTCGCCATAGACAATGACAACCCAATCCAGTCGGCTCTGCTCGGCTAAGGGCCCGCTAAAATAGACCCCGCTGAGTCAAAGAAGAAACCCTCCAGGGACCTGACAACTCTAACGTCAGCGGGCCTTTTTTTTTTTTTTTTTT